AAAAAAACCCGAATTTATCCACCTATGGTGTGATCAGACCCTTCTTACTTATTCAAGTTTATTTATTTTATTGTCATTATCAGTGACCAAGCCCCCCACCCCCGTGTCATCCAGTGACGCTACGCCACTGCCTGGGGGTACCCGGAATATATCCGGGTGTAGTCTATTTGGTGAGGCTACCAATCACCTTATCATCGTATTTTAATGTGATTTAATGGGTTTTAATTCAATTCATATTCAAGCAACTTCCCCGGGGTACCCGGAACATGTCCAAGTGTGTCCAATGTGGTCTGGAACACTTAACACGACTTGCATTGATCTTATTTTTGAATTCTGTAGTAATTTGATGTGTCGCATGATGGTTTTGATACGTTTTCCGTTAAATCCAGCGTGAAGGCCCATATTCACCGGATTTTATTCCGGCCATATCTCCGGAACCGGTTCACCGATTCCAAAACCATTCAATAGCGTTCAATGGAACCCCAAGACCTATCATTTGGCACCGAGTTTGTCCAAATCGGTTGAGCGGTTGCTGAGAAACGTGAGCGCATTCATTTCGTTACATACACACACACATACACACATACACACACACACACAGACATGTTCCGATCTCGTCGAGCTGAGTCGAATGGTATATGACACTCGGGCCCTCCGGGCCTCGGATCGATAGTCGGTTTTTCAAGTGATATCTATACCACAGACAAACAGACATAACACGTTGAATATTTCTCACTGTAAAACATCGTCGCTGAAACATTAGCGCCATCTGTTGAGTTCACTGTGGTGGGTAGTACGCTGAACAGATGGCGGTAGTGTGTAAACGTCAAACTCAAGGGAATTGACTATGCGCGCCACAGGTGGCGGTACTACCAACTAGGATACTTTTAAATTGACCGTTAAATGCTTGTTAGATGAACAACTTGCGAGTGTTATGTCTGTTTGTCTGTGTCTATACCCTTCTTTGTAAGAAGGGTAAAAAAGTGGAAGAACCTTCGAGATACCTACGCTAGAGAACTGCGCAAGCTGCCGGTACCTTAATCCGGTGATGCAAGAGATAAAAGCTGCCACAGCACTTGGCCATATTTTACCTGCATGCAGTTCTTGAGGCAGCAGATGAAACCCCGAAAATCAACCGGAAACCTTAAGATTCCACCCACACCAACAGCCAATGATCAGGACGATGAAATAGATTATGGCGAAGTGGAGGCATTGGAGGAAACAGAAGGGTGGTTTGAAGTAGCCGACCCTTCTATCGCTGGATCTTCGGACTCACGCTTGCAACCTCCGGCCAAAAAAATCAAAAAATCTTCGGAGAGAAGCCACCCAACTAACATTTTCAGCTTTGTAAGCCAACTTTTCCAACGTTGTGCTGTAAAGTAGCTTAAAAGAAGCTGCAGATACAGCTACAAGCAAAAGCTAGCAAAATAGTTTTGGAGAGCGTTTACTCAACTTTCTCACAACCATTATTCAATTTGTCAGTCGCACTGAATAACATCAGCCAATAAACGCTAATGTCACTTCTATACACACACTACCCAACTTTCAACTTGTAGCTGCAAAACAAAGCTAACAAAGTGAATATGTTACTCATTTGATGGCTTCTACACAACCAACCACTCTTGCTGAATAACATAAACATCAAAAGTGCTTTTTCAACAACTAAACAACCTGTACTCAGCTTATAAACTGTGTTAGAACAACTTCGGAAGCATTTTCACAGTCAACTAGGTTTATTTTTAGACGTGTGCAGTTTTACAGCTTTTACTCTGTTCTTTTATAACTAGTCGAGAAAAGTGATTCATGTGTACTATTTTAAAGCCTCTACCCAGCGATTTTGTTGTAGAAGGGAATGTTGATTTGTTTACATAAGTTCAAAGTGTTGGCGTAGCACAGTTGGTAGTGTCAAAGATTGCCAATGAGGTCGTCTCGAGTTCGATTCCAGGTTCCGGTGCAGGGTAAATAATTTGGTGATGATTTGTAAGTAATTTCGATTAATTTGATTCACAGCAAAATAAACTCAATAAATTCCTTCATAAAAAAGCGTAAACAGTATTTAACTCGGTTTCAAGAGAAAGCTGTGTAGTGATTATTGGATAACCGGGAAAAGGTTGAATAAGCGCCTTTCAAGTTCACACACAACTAAACAGCAGGATAACAGCTGTATAGAAGCGTTAATGGATATGCGATAAGAGCTTCTCCCGACCGTTCCAACAGCCATAAGTAGCTGACTAAGTTCGCCAGATTTGCTTGTATAGAGGTTGAGTAAAGGTTTCCTCATATCGTATAACGTTTGAATACAGCTTGAGACTGTATAAATGAAATGAGAAAAGCGTTTACATTGCGAAAATTGTTAGTTGGGCAGCACGCTGCGTGGCTGCTGGAAATCGAAGGGAGGAAGTTTGAACTGCTTGAGAAAAAGGCTGAGAAAAATCGCGATGAAGATATTGTTTTCTTAGAAAGTTTCCTACCGCACGTTAGAAAGCTTTAGGGTGCCCACAAGCTGGAACTTAGGATTAAAATTCAACAAGTTGTGCTTGATTATGTGTATAGAAAGGCCCAATGCTCGCTCACTGAAAGTGAGGGTGATATTTTTTAGCTATAAGAGTTTTTCAGCTTCTTCTTGAGTGTAGTAAGATGTTTTAGAATATATTATAAACGAGAATGGATAATGTTATGGTTTTTTTAACTTTCAATCCATGACACAAATATAAATAAAACCTCCAATATTCAGAAAGTACCTCTACGAATCCCATATAAATTCTACATGCTTCTTAAATCCTTTACGAACTTTTCAAATGTTTCAACCAATCTCAAAAGCTCTAAAGTTTTTTTTACGTCATCATTAGGTATGCGTTCTGAAAACTTCTCGGAAGTTCTGGGAAGATCTTCCTGGAAAATCTGTGAAGTTCATTCAAGAAGCTCTGAATAGTTCTTACTGGAAATTCTGGAAAGTTCTTTCAGGAATTTTTGGAAAGGTCTTTCAGGAAATCAACTTCCTACAATTTCATGAAAGTACATACTAGAACTTCCCAAAACTTCCTGGAAATTCTTCCTCGAACATCCCAGAACTTCCTAGAAGAATTTCCAGGAAGTTCTAGGTAGTTCCCAGATCTTTCTGGAAGAACTTGCAGGAACTTCATAGAACTTCATGGAAAACTTACTACCTGTAAAAACTTCCTAGTACTTCTTGGAAGAACTTTCCGGCAGTTCTTCTAGAATGTTCTGGGAAGTTCTAGCACAAACGAAGTGACAGACGACTAGCTGACGAAGAAATCAATTAAAATAATGTGGTTCGCTGTAATAGAATTTTCTTAGAAGCTTGTGCCATCATCCACCAGATGGGATAGTATTTTTGTTTTGGTTTTGCACAAAGTTGATTTTGTGTAAAATGATTCTTTGACAGTGTGTAAAGAGTGTATCATTTTGTAATTTTTTATGCATTTCAGTTTTGAGTAGAGTGAAAGAGATAGAACCATAGAGGTAACTCTAAGACCACTGGGTCCCGAAGAAAATCATTATTATTTTTGGCTCACTCAGTACCAGAACAACGGTCCCAAGCAGTCCCAAGCTATTTCACTCACCCCTGCATGTTCTGCATGAATCCACACACCCCTGATATTATCTGTCAAACTTTCATAGCGAATCAAAACAAACATAGTGTAGTAATAGAATTTCAACTAGAATAGGTTACGTTAATCGTTTGCTTGGGACCAATAGGCTACTAAAGTGGTGAGCCAATTTAAAATCGTTAGTTTCGTATTGATTGTTGATAGAACCAAAACATTCTAGTACATTTGGTGAAAATGCTAGTTCAATCCAGTAGTAGTTTTGCCATGTAGTACAATCATAGAGGTAACTCTAAGACCACTGGGTCCCGAAGAAAATCATTATTATTTTTGACTCAATCAGTACCAGAACAACGGTCCCAAGCAGTCCCAAGCTATTTCACTCACCCCTGCATGTTCTGCATGAATCCACACACCCCTGATGTTATCTGTCAAACTTTCATAGCGTATCAAAACAAACATAGTGTAGTAATAGAATTTCAACTAGAATAGGGTACGTTAATCGTTTGCTTGGGACCAATAGGCTACTAAAGTGGTGAGCCAATTTAAAATCGTTAGTTTCGTATTGATTGTTGGTACAATCCAGTAGTAGTGGTGTTGCCATGTGGTACACTGAAAAATAGCAATAGCAGGTTAGTCACCAAAGTTTTCGAGCCGCTCCGTCTGTCACTTCGTTTGTGGTAGTAGTGTTGCCATGTTGTACAATCCAGTAGTAATGGTGTTGCCATGTGGTACACTGAAAAATTGCAATAGCAGGTTAGTCACCAAAGTTTTCGAGCCGCTCCGTCTGTCACTTCGTTTGTGCTACTACTAGATTGAACTAGCATTTTCACCAAATGTACTAGAATGTTTTGGTTCTATCTCTTTCACTCTACTCAAAACTGGAATGCATAAAAAAATGACAAAATTATACACTTTTTGTCAAAGAATCATTGTACACAAAATCAGCTTTGTACAAAAACAAAACAAAAATACTATCCCATCTGGCACAAACTTCTAAGAAAATTCTATTACAGCGAACCACATTATTTTAATTGATTTCTTCGCCAGTTTGTCGTCTGTCACTTCGTTTGTGATAATAGTATAGCATTTCCTCCCAACTCTATAAGATGATTTCGTTATCCTTGATTTGTTTTGCTCCCACACCTGGACCCTACATATCGACCCATCAACTCATGAACCGGCTTTACTTCCCTTCCGAAGGAAGGCGTGATCAGAGATGTTATGCCTCAGAACCTCCAGGCGGCGCCGACTGGGATTGAACCCAGGCCTGCTGGGATGAGATTATAAGATGATTTCGACGTTCAGTTTGTGGATCGTTGGAGTCGTGCCTCTTTATTGGTTTATGTCATGGTTGATATAAGACTTCCTTAAATAAATTTGCAAGGAATTTCGGTATGCTAAACAACAGAACAAACGATCAGCAGTTCCTTTAATGTTCACAATATCCCTCTGTTTTATTATATTTACTGTTATTACTGATTTCTTACACATATTAATGCTTAATATTCGGTAGTATATCGTAATATGTATATATTAGTTCAATATATTAAACAATCTTATTTCCAGTTGTCAATGAAATACAGAATAGAATGCATCATTTTTTGTCGGTATTATGAGTACATTTTAGTTCGAATTGAAAGAAATGAAAGAAATCAATTTCAGTTATCTAGAGTTGTACCCAGGTCTTTCAGTTCTACTAAACAAATTCCTCTAAAGAATGAATGGTAAAGGGATGTTGCTAGCTTGCCAGCTTAAAATTTCAAATTGTGTTTTTTGTTACTATTTAAAGTTCACCATTGTCCACTGCAGCGCATATAGCTAACAAGTGAACTTTTATTCTTTACAGTGAACAAGAATTACTGGAAAAAAACGACTAGGCTAACTGTTTTTTTTGTTTGTTTCTGTCACTTTTGTTTCTAAATCTGTGCGATGTAATCGTGTTTCTTTTGTATTTGATATAAGTGTTCTTATTTTTTCACGTAAGATTGCGTGTTTCGATCAAGTACCTTTTATAAACTTTATTTAAATCTGCTTTTTGCTTTGAGTAATCTGAGAGATTTACTGGAAGAGATAGTGTATGATCAGGGTAATTTGATAAGTGGGTCGAAGTATCGTCGTTTGTTTCTTTTTTTGTATTAATATGCATTTAAAACCATAGGTTAATTCGAAAATGACAAGTGTTTCCTACGATTTTTTTTAAATGTCTTAAACGGAACGGAGCATTTTGGTTTAACTAATCGTAACATAGCCTTAAAATGGATAACTCTATAAGACAGGTCTTTTATTGTGGTTATTTATATTTCACAGCGATTAAGGACTGCGCTAAACATCGGTTTCGAATTTATAGACTCATCTTTCATATGTGTGTTTGTGTGTGTAGTGGGATTACTATTTTACAGTAGATTACTTCCAATACATTTCATTTCACGTTAAAGGACTCGGTGTTTGTTTTTTTATCGCCTGTTTCTACACGAACAATGATAGACTAGGTAAAAGTGCTTTGTCCGTTAGGAATAGTTCACCAATTTGATTACCGTTCAACTTTTTATTCACAAGTTGCTAAGTCGCTTCCACCAAGGGAATCGGAAACAAGTGGAAAACCTATTTGCATTCTTGCAGGTAAGATCAGAGGAGGTATTTTTTCATCTGAATCACTTGAAATCATACATGTTTGCAAAGTTGCTCATGTCCTTAAGTTTTGAAGGAATATCGATAAGTAAAGAAAGTATCGTGGAAAAGGAACAACACGTGCTTCGGTAGAGTTTTAGGGGAATGATAAAAGAACAGTTTCGTGTTTTTAATTGGTAAACCCACGGCCTCGTTTATGCTGAGTACTATGAGATGTTGTTTCGATAGTGTTTGCTTAGACCTGATTTCTTGCTTCATGTGCATCAATTACTTTGTAATACGATGTATCCTACGGGCGGCAGCTTTCAAAATACTTTTGCAAATCTATGTTCTTGAATTTTGTGATGAAAACAAAAGTGTAGTGTAAATTGGTAGTACGATTGCAATTTTCAGCTTCTATTTAATCTATTAATCAACAATTTCAAGGTGCGAAAATGATGTCTCACAAATGAATAACTAAACTAAAAAGTAATATATAGTTATAACTTTCAACTAATTCTAAATATAAATATTCATCAGACCTCGTTCACTTATTTACAGCACAGTTCATCACGTTACAAAGCAACTGATTGAAACATTCGTTTTATTTCAAGTCAGTATCGTCGTCTAGAAGCTCGTCAACGTCTTTCTCCCAGTTGGAGCGATCGTTTCCCTCATTGACCACCTCGTAATCCTGCAGTTCTGCTTCCAAATCCTTCTCCCATTGCTCTTCTATGGAGGGGTTCACAATTCACAGAGTATGTTTGGCGTTATAGGTCCAGTTCGTTCATATGCGTTCAGTACAGATTGATTGAGTCGATGTTCGAAGGGGAGCAGGAAAACGAAAATTTAAATACAGATTAAACAGTATAAGCAAGTAAGTACGATAACCAACGAAAATCGTCTTTTTTAAATAATTCAACAGCAAGCAAATATTTCTCTAGATTTGTTTCCTACTGTGGCTATAAAGCACTGTCCAGTGATAAAGCATCATCCGTTATGTTGTTGTCTATTATTGTACTATTTAATCTACCCATATCTAGTTATATAACGTCACCAACCTAAACGCTTACCAGAGTTACATACACTGTTGGCTTAAATCGCTTCCAACCATAATTACGAATAAATAAATGTGTCGTATTTTTTTCTGTCTATTGCCATGATAGTTAGAGTGGGCTGTGTACGGGAAATTAAAATGTTCCTTGTAATCGGCGGCTTTTGTAATTGATATTTAATCTCATTTAAACAATCGCTATAAGAATCATCATTTCATTGTATCTAGAACTGTCCCGTTCTCGGAAGCGGTGATGTATGTATGTACATCCTCTCTTGTATGTCATATTTATAATTAATTTCCCCTTGTTTAATATATTTTCTTTTTCGGTTAAAATAAAGGATCTTTTGCTTCCTCCCTCGAATCGGCCCGTTAATACACTCTTTTCATTGTAGTTTCCAATGTTAATTAATCACAGCTTATTTTTAATTGCCTTAAAATTTATTTGTCTATACAGATTATTGCATTATATAATGTTGCTAGAAATGTTCGACTGGTTTGTGACTGCAGAAAATAGAAGGAGAGAGTGAAGCAGTGTTGAAAAAATTAAGATCACGCTAAATCATATCTTGAATGTGTTGACTGAACCGATTTTTGTCTAGTCTTAAAAATAAAACTCTCGTTCAACACAGCAAAACATCTGCACCAATTTGTGGGGAGTGCGATCAAGTTGAAATTAATTCGTTTATCAAGCAGACATAGCTTTTCTAGCAGAAAACACAAAAATTCTCCATTATTCCTACCTCTGTCTGTCTGTACACTGTATGCATGCCAATCCGAAAACGTTTTGCCATTTTGCCTTTTCAATCTTACTGTGTCTCTTACTGCATTGTCATTGACCCAAACAACTCTTTTCGCAATTTCCGACTGTTTTAATGTTACTTTGATTTTCCTTGATTTTCAACGACGTTGGTTTGTATTGTCTTTTCTCTTAAATTACTTGTTTTCTCTTCTTTGTAATTGAGTTATAACGAATTAAATATTTTCTTTAAATAAGTACATTTATTTATATTTGTATGTTTAATATTTCCCCTTTTTCTCTTTCTCTTAACATCCTACATCCTTGAATAATTAGTTAGCTTCCTTTTTCTTTAATGATTTTGTATATACTATTTTGTCGTCAAAGATGTATAGATTTAACGAAATGCACAACATTGAAAAAATCTTTAATTTCATTCCCTTTTCCATTGTTGTCATATATATATATATACATATATGAATACTGCTATTTATGATAATCTTTCGTAAAGTTCAACGCGAAATATGTCGTTTATACAGATTACTCTTGATTTGTTATTATAGCTTAGCGTCTGAAATGGCATTACGTGGAGTTGTATTTTGAGGGCAAAGTAAATAAACAAATGTATGTATAAGCCGGTTTTGTTTTCTGTTTGAGGGAATTTGTCCGTTAGATAGAGTAGGAAAGTGAAACAGGTGCGTGTGTCAGGCAAGTTGTGGCTTCACTACAAGAAGAATAATTTACCAACTCTTTGCGAGAATCTGGGCCTCGGTGGGTTGTGAGTTAGAATTAAAATAATATGGTTATTTCTCCCTAGCCTTTGACAAGCCCGGATTAGATATTGTGGTTGGGACAATGATCAAAGCCACAGCCGTAGAGGTTCGTTCAATGGATCATCCCTAAATATATGCCGTCAAGTGGTAAGCTAGATATAGCTTTCCTTATGTTTTTTTTTCTTTCTTTCTTTGGGGTTAACATTACTCTGAGGTTACGAGAGAAATCACATCGAGACAGAAAAGTACACTTACTGTGTTTAATAGTTTACTTTTTAGTCATTAGTGTGAAAATGGAAACGATACTTGGCAGAGACAGTATCGGGGTGATCAAATTTCACCGAACGACGAAATAATACATAAATTCAGAATAGAACGAGAACATCTTCTGATATCCAAGAGTGATAATGTCTTTTTGAAACTTACTAACGTAACCATGCTTTACATCGAGATGTGTTTTGACTTGTACAGGATTATACTAAAATTTAAGGTATGGCATAATTGATTCTGATTTTCCTTTGTGTGCTCGTATGATCGTGTTAAGAAGGGAAAAATCCTCCTGCTCCATCCTTGTGTTGCTGTATAATGCTGAGATGGATTTACGTTATGAAACTATCGTTAATTATTTTTACGTTTGGAGTTAGCTACATCTGTTCAATAATATTGTAACGTCTGTTTTCTGTCTCTTCATCATCTTGTGATACGGGCGTAATGGGTCTATGTTCTTATATATTGTAACTACGTCTTTAGGCTGTTTGAGTATCAATTGTTGGTAGAAAGCAAAAAGGAAAAAAAAAAAGAATGTTAGTAATATCTTCGACTCATAAAATAACAACTATATGCAAAGAGGTCAACCAAATCAATCAGAGTTCATCGATAAGCGAAAAACCGTTTCATTTACACTAAAAGCTGAACTTGAAATGCTTAAAATACGCGTTGAACTGTATATAGACATTAGTGGAATGCAGTAATATAGTATTGCAAGACGCTAAAGAAAAAAATAGATGAAACAATATGAAATGAACGAGTGAAAACAGAGTTGCCAGATTAAACCCTCCAACCGTTCGGGCTCTCATCCCTTTCTCTATCAGTAGTGCAACGTACAAATTCACAGTCGATTCAAACAGCCTAAAGTAAATTGTTTTCGATTGGCTTCCTGGAATCTGTTCTCGAATTCAGTAGCAATTTCAGTTCGGATAGTGTCTATATAGCCACAGTTAGTGAATCTGGCAACCCTATTTACTGAATCAGCTCGAGATATATTCTGCAGCTACATACATATAACTAAAAATGTTTTTTTTTTTTCATTCACGAATAGATTCGTTTTTTTCTTTCGTTAAATTTGGTATATTTACATAAATTAATTAAAACGTGCTTATCGTGATGGTATGAGGTGGGCAAATAAAGCTTTGGTTGAACTTAGAATTAGAAAAGAGGCGTAACAAAGCTGGACTTATCGTTAAAACTTAAAATAGTATCTCAAATAAAGATAACATAAGAAATTAAACAGTTAACATAAAAATACTTATTATTTTTTTTCAGTTATGATGGCATGATTCAATCATTTTAAAACTGTATGAAGCAAATCGGCAGCAAACATATAAATCAATTAGTGAAACTAGCGGAAATAAATAGAGCTGTTTGAGAGCATTTATTAAAATAATTGCCAAATTTTGCAAAATTTAACTTCATTAGGCTCTGCATTGATTACTCCAAGCACCTGATGCGTTTCGGGTTTCAGTCACCGAAGATTGTATGTTGTTGAATTTAAAACCCGATAAACGCAGTTAATAATGAGCGAGACTAAATAAAACTTTCGAATAGAAATTTTCAGAAGTTAATGGTCCGATTAATATATCCTATATTTTATGATAAGTTTATCATAAAATATAATAAATATACAACCAACTTCTCATATAATCTATGAGTGTTAAAACGCACCCGTAACCTTACCATGTATCCGTATATAAAACATTAAATTGCTTACAACCTTCTGAATGCACTAGTTTACAGCATATTTGAACTTTATGCGCTGGTTGTCATTTTCAAAAATGTAATCAGAAACAATCCCAGTAGAATAGTTTTCTAGATACAATTAAAAAAAGTTTGTTTACAAATATCTCCGGCTGTAATGAAGCTATATCAATATCAGAAGATTTTAACGCCAATTTGGTAAGAAAATTTGCTTTCTATCAATCAGACATTATTTTTCAGTTAGGTTAGTGGTATTGTTCGCATAACTACTGCCAAAAAATATTTACCAGGCTTAAACACTTAGCTGAAATCCAATTTTTCTAGGAAATATGCAAAAAAATAATTCAAAATAAAACAAACTATTAATTTACAACAATACCGCTAATCTAACTGATTGATTGATTGAATTTATTGAATGTCTAGTTGATCGAATGCAAAATTTTTTTACCTTTAAATTGGCGTTAAAATAATTTATATCGATATATTATTTCTTACGTGTACTTTTCCATCACTGGTGTACAATATGATTTCTATTTTCCATAAGCTTTTTAATTGTTTTTTTTTTAATAATAAAGAGGGTTTTTAGAACACTTGGCTGTGCAAACCTCGGTCAAAATCGGCAAGATTCAACAAAAAAAAATAAATATGTACACAATAAGAAAAAAAGTACCCAAGTAAGTTTTTTCATTCATCTCGGCACTATAGTGCAGGATGCCAAAAGTAAGTAAAGCGGATCAAAATAGTTTTCCTTTACTTGTGTGCAATTCGTATGAAATTTACCACTCGCTTCCTACCCAAAAGTAAGTTAGTTATACCCAAAAGTAGGTGAATATGATTATGCTCAACGTTGGGTTCCCATACTTTACTACTCCTGTTGGGTGGTTTTGCTCCTCCGTTTTTGACAACATTAGAAGGAGAAAAGGAGACAAACTAGTCAAAAGTAGGAAAAAGTGAACTGGTCGCTGGGTACTTTTTTCTTTTTACATTTTGCTTAGGATCCCGATTGTTCAGCTTTCAAGTTGCTTTTTTAAACAGTTTGCCTGAGCTAATAAGCTCTACCGGCAACAAATGTATTCATCTAATTTATATAAATTTATAAAATAACCTGATGTTGAAGTAAAAAAAATAAAATCCACACAAAAAGGGTGCATTAAAAGTACGTCACGCAATATTCTGAAAACAATTGCCCCCT